CCTCTTGTCGCAGCAGCCGCCTGCTGCGTCGATCATCAGCCACACTGGTGAACACCACGTAGGCTCCGTGCTCTTCAGGGTATTCGTCTTGTACTGCGCCAACTGGCCTGACTGCCGGCTGCTGGGGCAGAGGCGGCTGCCCAGCAGGCGGGGGTGGCAGGAGGTCGTCTCCCTTGGCGATCCTGGTGAGCCAGTGGCACTTCCGGGTGGTGTGGTTCAACGGCTTCGCGCCGCTGTGGAACTTGCAAGGTCCATCCAAGGTCTGCTCGTAGGAGAAGGCCGGCAACCAGTTTGGCTTGCCGCCTTTATGTCGCTTGGGCGGAGGCTGCTCTTCTAGCTGCTGGGCTTCGACGGTCGCGACCTGCCGGCTACTGGAAGCCGGCTGCGGGGCCTTGCGCTTGTTGTCGCCCTGCTGTTGTCGTCGGCCGGCGTCTGCTGCCGGAGTTCTTGGAGCCTGAGGAGCTACTTTGCCAGTCGTGCTGATTTGAATTTCCGTCTTCATGGAGGAGTCGGCCGTAGCGTACTTGTCCGCTATGATCAGCAGCTCGTCGAGGGTTTCTGGCTCGTCGCAGAGGAGCTTGTGCTTGAGGAGGGTGCCTTCTCGGCACCCGGCTGTGAAGTACTCAATGGCCTGCACCTCGTGCACGCCCTCGCAGGAATTCCGGAGCTCAGCCCAACGCGTGAGGTAGTCGCGAGTCGACTCGTCAGGACCTTGCATGCACAAGGAGAGCTGACGAGGCTTGGGAGGACGCTTGTACGTGCTGGTGAAGTTGCGGACGAACGCTTCGGTGAAGTCGACCCAACTGTTGATGCTGCGGGGCTTTAGGCTGTTCAGCCATGTCCGGGCCATGCCCTGGAGCATGAGCGGAATGTACTTTACGGCGACACGCTTGTTGCCGTTTGCTATGCTGACAGCCGTGGAGTAGTCGACTAGCCAGTCTTCCGGCTTCACGGAGCCGGTATACTTGGGCGTGTCTCTTGGGAGCGTGAACCCTTTGGGAAAGGGCTCGTCCCGAATGCGTGGCCCGAAACAAGGCGGACCCAGCTCGTCTTCTTCTTCCAGCACCAGGGACCGGTGAAGTCGGTCGATCCGGTGGCGGGCGTCATTCTCTCTCGGCGGCCAAGGCGGTCACCGAGAGTCTGATGGTCAACAGGCGGCGGGGAGACTCGCCTCTCCTTGCGGGGAGGGGGAGGCGGACAGTCGTCCCGTCGTTCCACTGCTCTCGGGCGGCCGTCTCGGTCGCGCTCTATGGTAATCCGAGTCCGATTGTGGCTGACAGCCGGCTCCTTGTCCTTCCTTCCTCGGGCACCGCCAGTCGGCGTCCGAGACGTCGCGCCTTGATCTCGATGCGGGTCGTTGTTTGGCCGCTGCGGCGCCTTCGTGCGGCAGCCGGCCTTGTTTTGCGCGGCGGCCCCGTCGAGAAGCCGCTGGACTCGCTCCATCATGAGGCGGCGCTCTTCGCCCTCGAAATTGTCCAGCTCATCCGCCGCTGCCTGGGCGGCTCGGATGTTCTCCGCTGGCATGGCATACACGGGGCGGCTAGCCGCAAACAGGCTGGCGATGGCTACGCCGCGCTGCTGAACTGCGCCAAGGCGGCTGGGCCCTGCCGGGACCGGCGAGCCGCCAACAGCGCGATCCATCTCCCGCTGGTAAGCTTCTGACAAGCGTCTCATGCTGGCTAGCTTCTTCGCGCAGCTAGGTCTCTGCGTCAACTTGTTGAAGGCGGCGCGCCAACTTGTTGAAGGCGGCGCGCTTCTAACGTCTCTGCATTAGCATCTTCCGGAATGGGCGCAGCTAGGTCTTGCAGCGCCGCGCCGAGTGAGTCGGGCGCCCTTCCACCAGGGAACTCGTCATGACTGATGACCAGCACCTCAGTGACGGTGCTTCCGTCTCTCTCCGCGTGGGGGAGAGGTTCGTCGTAGACCACCACGTTGGTGGGGAACGCGTCGACCGACGCGGTGTCGGAGTCGACCAGCATCGGGTCGGTGGAGCCTACGGACTCCAAGTCCACGGCAGGCTCGCCGGAAACATGGAGTTGATCGAGGAGGCCCGCGAGGAGGTTTTCGGGGCCGCCTGCGCCTGCGTCGGACGCAGATTCGTCGGAGAGGCGGACCTCGCCGACAAGTTCGACCAAGGAGCTGGCTGCGCAGGCGATCTCAACGCCGCGCAGCGCGTCGACGCAGACTTCGTCTGGCGTGCCTGGCTGGCTGCGCTCGCCAGGGAGAAAAAGGGTTCCCGTCTGTTCCCGTCCAGAGCAGATCTCCGGACGGCGGTGCACCACGCCCCACGGTGGGCGCCAAATGTCAGGGGTTTGGTGCGACATATGCCAATGGATGGCTTATCATGGTGGGGGCGAGTAGAACGTCGTCGGTGCCTGGAAACGGGATGAGGCGAAGACATGCACGCCGGCGAATCTTACCCAGCTTCGGGGCTCTCCGAGGAGATAATACCCCTACTGCTGCTCTGCGGGGTCTCCGCATGATCACTACGGTCAAGTGTTTACACGGTTGCTTCTTGAGCCGTGTCTGGTGGTAGGAGAGGGCAAGGCTAGCTCTCTTCCTCTATCTGGTGTGGTATAGAACTACTGGAATCCAACCCTTTGCATGGGTGCCCTGGGGGGTTTATATAGGCCTACCCCCAGGGGTACAATGGTAATTCGACTGGGCACGGGCCCAGCCGTAAGTGCCTCCGACCTCCGGCTTCTCCGCCGACCGCTGGGGCCCGCCGAATGGTGGGCCCCGCCGACTGGTCTGGTACGGAGCCGACAGGCCGCGTCCGCCGCGGGCGGGTCTCGCCGGCTGCTGATTACTGTAGCTGTGCTCCTGATGACGCAAGCTCGGTCATGGGGTCCTGGCAACAGCCCCGCCGCCTGGCGGGCGATCACTGTGGCCACTCCCCATCTCTTCTTGATTAATGGCGCGTGGGCCCCGGGGGAGGGCTCGGCCGACTACCCCGGGCCGACTCCCGACGGGTCCGACTGGCGGTTCTCCCACCGTCTCCCGAGGTCTCGCTGATTGGTGGGCCACGCTGCCTCCAGGCCGTACAAACAAGTCGTCGTGGGCGCAGGACCAGATACAGTGATGCTGATGTCAGGGCCGGCTGGGCAACAGTGCCACGCCGCAAGGAGATCTTCCCTAGTACGGCGCGCTGTAGCCATGCCTGCCCTTGGTAAGGGGCGGGGAGTGGGCTTCATTGTAGCCACGCCCCTGCCCCGTCCCCCTCGATGAGGTCACGGTTTGTTGGAGTCGCCGGCCGACTCCCCAAAGCCGGCTCCTCTGGAAGTCGCCCCTGAGACTCGGCCGTGAGCGGGCAGTCGGCCGCCTTGCCGTAGACTCTCCCAGGAGGCGGCTCTTCGCCCTGTGGTCTTGAGGGGCGCTGCCTGCCTCGATGTCTTGAAAGGTTATGGGCCTTGGGTTGGCCTACCCGTAACACATTACTCCAACAAAGCAACTAATCTTGTTTATTGTTAATTGATCACGTGACACTTGCTAATTAGCAAGTGCTACCTTTTCCATACGACTTCCAGCATCTGGCCAGGTTCCACTAAGTACGCTTCTAATCCATTTTTATGTTAATATAAGTTGCTATAGTACTAATCCTAGCTACTAGTAAGTTTGCGGGTTTTCAGTCCGAGTAAAGTTTGAAAAAAACCTTTAACTCGTATGCCCTGTCGAAATTAAACCCTCACCTTCTAATCCCTGAAATCGGCACCCTATACTTGTCAATCCCGGTTAATATCGACTTTCAACCTGTTTGGCACATTGGAAAAAAGGCAATCCCAACTGGGTTCACCTGCTACTCTCACCGACAATACGGGTCCGCATGTCATATCCATCCCTCTCCTCTACCTCTTCCTCCCTGTCGTTCTCTCCTTTGTTGAAACGTCTGCGATAAGAAAAAGAAGCGAGATGGCCAGCCAGAATTGAAGGGGCAGGGAGAGGTCTGGGAGCTTTGATCGTACTAGACGCCGGAGATGGCTGCCGCCGTGTGTGGCGTCGCCTCATTGGCGCTGTGGGGCGCCTAGGCCGCCGGCCCGCGCTCAACTTCCTAGGCTTTGTCATGGCCTGCCCCAAGATCCTAACTACTGAACTGACGAATGGTTGATCGATTGGTCGAACTTGAATATGCACGTACGCAAGTGTAGAGAAAGCACCCGATGGATCCTTGAGGCTAGCTAGCTTTTCCACGTGCAGCAAACTACTATCCACTAGATGCTTGGTCGATCTGGGCTTCTGGAGTAGCACAACTCGGTGGAACACTCACGCCCCGCGGGGACACTGCCTAGCCTGGACGCGTGCGTACGCTACGGACGGCTATGTCCATGTGGATCTCGCGTTTCTCGTGCTCCACCCACCATCGTCGTTAGCATGTCGGGCTAGCTACTACGACGACACCAGCCACTCGCTCGATCAAGCACCGCCGCCATTGTTGTCGTCTTCCTCATTTCCTCTCCGTGAAGCTGCGCTCTGCAAGCTCTCGTGCGCTCAATCAGCTAGGTAAAGATCTTTCCCAGGGCTGCACGCCACTGGCCGGCAAGCCCCTCGTCTGCCGTCGCACAACCACTCCCGGAGCTGCCACGTCGTTTCATTGTGTGTGCGCGCGTCATGCAGATGCAGATTGATGGATCTGACTGTAGCTCCACCAAGTTAGTGAGAGAAGAGGATGATCCTGGTGGGGATTGCGTTTTCCTAGTGCACCAAACTAGTCTAGAATTTTGCAAGGTTAGGATTGACTGAGATTAATGAGTACGGTGTACTGATTTTAGGGATTAAAAGATAAGGGTTCGATTTCGACGGGAAGCACGAGTTCAAGGTTTTATTCAGACTTTTCCCATTCAGTCCCCAAGGGCACGCATGCAGTAAAATTCGTCGACGTTTCCTCCCCATGTTTGACCACCACACCCCGTCATTCATTTTCTCGGCTTTGTCAGCCTATAAAACCCCTCCGAATCTCGTGACAAATGTCTGTGTATCCGACTAATACCCGATCAACATAGCTAATGGCGTCTTCTGGTAAGCTCGTGGGTCTAGCTCTAATACTGCTGCTCTTCATGGCGGCGACGATCATGGCGGCGGTGGCAGGCGTCGAGTCCTACAGCTTCCCCGTCTTCAACGCCACCACGACGGCCAGCCTGGTTGCCGCCACGAACACGACCGTGGTCGGGCCGGCGGCTCTGCTCTTCCAGCCCGAGATCGACTCCACCGCGGCCAGCATCAACGTGTCCGAGGGCTTCCTGCTCCTCCCGGACACGGTCGACGTCTGGCGCGCGGGCGCGGGCGGTGGGCTGCTGCCTGCGCGCGAGGCGTCCTTCAACACGAGCTTCACGGTGGAGAGCTCCGCCACCCCCGTCTCCTTCGTGCTCCTCCTCGACAGGTTCCCGCTGTTCAACAGCCGGACGCGCCTCCGCGGCGCCAACGGCTCGGCCGACGCCGTGCCCGACGCCAACGCCACGGCCAGCGGCCTCGCCGCGGTCGAGGTCGGCGCGGTGAGGTCGTACGAGCCGGAGTCCCCGTACGTCGGCCTCAACGGCACCGTCACGCCCAACGGCCGCCGCGCCGTGGCCGTGTGGGTCGAGTACGACACCGCCGCGCACGTCCTGCGCGTGTACGTCGCGGCTGGCGGGGAGCCGAGGCCGCCCGGAGCCCTCATCGACGCGCGGCTCTCTCTCGCCGGCCGGCGCACCACGCAGACCGCGATGGTTGGGTTCTTCGCCGCCACGGTCCGCGATGTCTTCCTCGGCGTCCGTGACTGGGACCTGACGGTGGACAGGTTAGACGCCGGCGGCAAGAAGAGAACGTCATGGTGGGTGATACTCATCGCGGTGCTCGGGTCCGTGGCAGCCACAGCCGCCATTGTCACTCTGGTGGTGCGCTACTTCGTGTCGAGGCGCCGGACGCGCAGCATGGAACCCAAGCAATAGTTTGTAGTACTGCCATGTGTTCAACCCATGCATACCATGTATAGTATAGCCCTGTAGACGTCTACTATCTTTAAACCACTGTGTTTTACTATGTTACTTCCATGTTTGAATTCATATTTAACGATTGAATTAAGATCAGTGTTTCTTAGGAGAGAAAGCCACTTGGTGCACTTTATTAACTGAAATCAAAGTCACATCATCCATAATGACCGGAAATTAAAAAACGGGGGATCACCGTCCTAAACAAAAGTAGAGTTCGAATCAAAACAATGCGTGAAAGAAACCGACACCGATACGAAGAGCCTTTTGAAAGCAATCCATCAAAATAACAGAGTAAGGGCTCTAGATTTCAATAACACCATTGCAAGCTTGAATAATTTCCAGCGAATCTGATTCAACAATCACCAGTTGACATCCAAGGTCTTCCAACTGTTCCAGCCCTCGCTGAAGTGTGATCGCCTCTGCTGTTGTCGTGTCATGGAGATGATTTAGCAGCCACGACGCCCCCGCCACAGCCTCGCCACGACTGTTTCGGAGAACAACAGCCGTCGCACCCTTCTCAAAAAAAGCTGCACCGATGTTTAGCTTCTGCGATTTACCTGGAGGTTTCTTTCACAACACCTTCTCTGGTTCCTTCAGATTAGTGGCTCGACTGAACTTAATTGTGATTGCCTAGATAACGAATGCAGTACTTATAGGATTACGGACTTTTTCTCCCTTCGCAAACTCTCTCAGTTGCCACGAAGTATACCATGCGCCAATGATCAAAGACTCCCGGAGGCCCAATCGGCCAAGCACGGGAGGATGGCTCGCTGGCTGTGTGAGAAGCTCCTCAAGAATAACACTCCTGACCTGTCAATATTAATCAATCACTTCTTCTGTTAACGGTTGCATTCCCAGTTCTGTCCACATTTGTTTTGCCCTTCTACATGTGAACATCAAATGGCGTATATCTTCTGCTACTTGCTCACACAGGACATTGCAGGTGTACCTTAATATGTCGATTTGCTAGTACTGCCATACCATGGACAATCCCATGCAAAGCACGCCAGGCAAATACTTTTATCTTACTTAACATAGGGTTAGTGGCTATCTGGGGAGTTACTGTCGCGAGGTATACGGCCACAAGATTTGTTTTCCGTTTTATTTCCGGGTCAAGGTTATTTGGTTGCTGAATTTTACATTATTAATAATATATGATTGCATGCATCGTTCTGATGTACATGCTGGGGGTCATCTTCTTCAAAAAAAAAGTCCCAAACAAGATTAATATTCATTGATCCTTGCCCATCACTTCTTCTAGTTTGTGCACCGTACTGGTGTTCCCACTCAACAGGAAACATAGGTTGTTGTACTTAACAGGAAACATAGTTTTCTAGGTTTGCCATTCATTTATAATATCCTTTTTTCATACCACCTTGAAAGTTATGGACAAGGAAGCCCAATTTCACTCCACCCCCAAGCCCTTGCCGCGGGGCTTTTTTTTTTGTCGCAGTGGTTTGGTTCGGTTCTTTTTTTCCCTGTGCAAGAAAAATCCAAAAACCAGAGAAAAAAATAAAACCATGTACGCGGCACGTATAGTCAACACCAAATTTTGAGAAAACATGGAATAGAGTGTATCACAAACCTTGCCTAAATTCTGTATAAATTGAGAATTTTCACTAAATGGGGTACTATCTTTCCAATCTTTCTGTAAACTAATTATTGTACATCTTTCCAGTCCTAATGAATCAACACACAAAACTCTTGTGTGTGCCGGAAAAAAACCCGGGTGTTATATCTGTCAAAAACATGAATTTATAGGTAAAAATGAAATTCACTCAAAAAAAAGGTACTGTCTAATGTGTTGGATCCTAATAAATACTCTACATGTAAACAAATATAAGACCGTTTAGATTACTCCTACTTAGGAATAAGTGTCAGTCACATCATCATGGCAGCAGCACGAGATCATCACGAGCACATCTGCTGCAGCCATGCGGCGGATCCAACGGTGCATAACCGGGTTGCGCCCGAAAAATAGCTTAGAGCATCTCCAACAGCCGCGCTAAACTAGCGGCACGCAGCAAATTAGGCCGTTTTAGCGCGCGCGCAACGCGGCGGGTCGCTCCAGCGGGCGCGCAAAAATGGCGCGCGCGCTATAACGGGTTGGGCGCGCGGTTGAAAACACTTACCCGCGCGGCGTATTTCGGGCGCCAGCTACAGCGCGCGGCACACTCGAGCGCTCGCGCCGCACTCTCTCCTCTCCTCGTCCTACGCCCCGCGCGCGCCGGCGCGGCGCCCTACCACCCACCCATGGACGCGCACACCGGCGCCCCGATCACCTCGCTGCACAGCGGCGACCCCCCTGCCGCCGCCGCCATGGGAGGCATGGGTGCACCTCCGGCCGCCATGGGAGGCATGGGTGGCTTTGGAGCACCCTCCGACGCTATGGCCGCCATGGGAGGCATAAGTTTTGCTTCTCTCATGGGAGGCATGGGTGCACCTCCGGCCGCCATGGGTGCAATATCTTTCGATGTGCCTTCTCACACACATTCCCATGAAGATGCCGTTGAAAATCTTGCCAACACCGTCGGAGCCTCACATGATGCGGTGCGTGATGAGGAGAGGGAGGAAGATTCATCTTCGGAGGCGGAAGAGTCGTCTTCGGAAGATGAGGACGAGGACGAAGACGAGGAAGATGAAGATTGATGTGTCTTTCATGTCTTGAACTTTAGTTTGCATTTGAACTTGGTTGGATGAACTTGTGGGCATGATTTTGAATTTGTGGGCATGAACTTTTATTCATCAACTTGTTTGTGTCAAATTTCATATGTTCATTTTTGTCCAAAATATCATATATGCAAAATGCCCGGCGAGTCGCGCGCGCTGTATTTTTGCGCTTTGCTGGAGCGGCGCGCGCGCTGCATTATAGCGCGGCTGCTGGAGCGCAGGCGGGCGCGCAAAACCAGCCGCAGCGCGCGCGGTAAACAGGTTTTTTGCGCGTGGCGCTTAGCGCGGCTGTTGGAAATGCTCTTATGAAATGAACGTTCGCACAAAAAATTGAGAAGTCCACGGCTTCCTATACGCTTTCCATGTCGTGTACGTGTCCGAGTAGTATACGTGCCAGTCACCTACGCCGACCCAAAACCGGGCCGCCGGGCGCCTCCCAGCCCTCCACAAAAGAGAAGAGGAACGCCGCCTCCTCCCACGACGTACCCCGGCGGCGCAGCGCAGGCGGGATGGGGAAGAGCGAGCTGAAGGCAATGGCGAGCCGGATGAAGGCAAGGGGCTGCAGAAGCTGCGGTGGTACTGCCAGGTGTGCGAGAAGCAGTGCCGCGACGAGAACGGCTTCGAGTGCCACTGCTCGTCGGAGTCGCACCGGCGGCAGATGGCCGTCTTCGGCCAGGCCCCCGACCGCGCCAACGAGCGCTTCTCCGGCGAGTTCCTCGAGGCGTTCCTCGCCCTGCTCCGCCACGGCCACCGCGGCTCCCGCGTCGCCGCCACCGTCGTCTACAACGAGCTCGTCGCCGACCGCCGCCACGTGCACATGAACTCCACGCGCTGGGCCACGCTCTCCGAGTTCGTCCAGTTCCTCGGCCGCCAGGGCCTCGCCAGGGTCGAGCACACGCCCAAGGGCTGGTTCATCGCCTACGTCGACAGGGGCTCCGAGCAGGCCACCAAGGCCGGGCTCAAGCGCAAGAGGGTCCAGTCCGAGGAGCTCGTCATTGCCCGGCAGATCGAGCGTGCCCAGAAGAAATCCATGGCCGAGGCCAATGGTGATGACAATGGCGACCTCGGGAAGATTGAGGAAGCGTATTCGGAACAAGTCTGACGCTGATCAAGAAGAGTTCAACAAGGCAACCGGGAAGGTTGAGATCGCACTCCGGCGCGCTGCTCCGGCAACGCCTGAGGTTAAGCCAGAGATGAAATTTGGCTTGGATGAAGAGGAGGAGGAGGTGATCAACAACAAGGGGAAAGACGCAGGGAAATCAACGGGTACGAGGAGGTCAGCCATTGATGATCTGATGGAGGAGGAGGAGAAGGCCAAGGAGCGGAGCAACCGGAAGGACCACTGGCTGTGCCCCGGCATCGTGGTCAAGGTGATGAGCAAATCACTAGCCGAGAAGGGGCACCATTACTACAAGCACAAGGGACTGGTGAAGAGGGTGATAGACAGGTACGTCGGGGAGATCGAGATGCTGGAGAGCAATCATGTCGTCAGGGTCGACCAAGATGAGCTTGAGACCGTCGTCCCGCGGATCGGCGGGCTTGTGCGGATCGTCAATGGCGCCTACCGGGGATCGAACGCGAGGTTGCTCTCGGTGGACACGGAGAAGTTTTCCGCCAAACTGCGGGTTGAGAAGGGCCTCTATGATGGGAGAGTTCTCGAGGCTGTCGAGTACGAGGACATCTGCAAGATTGCTGATTAGTGTGATAGGGTAGAGTTTCATTTCAGACCCAGTAGTAGCATTTCAGAGGTTTTGCTTAATGCAGTGGACCTATGGAGCCAATGTACTAGCAGCTCTGACTGTTAGTTTTTTTCCCCAAATAAAAGGTGCTTTTATTAACTCAAAATATAGTCTCAATCGGATACAAAGCATAATGAGCAACACCCGGCCTCTTACTACTAGTTGCCTGACAGTATGTGCAATGGTGATTGCCCATGCAAGGGTGGCATATAATTTTCATTTGCAGGAATAAACAGCCGCCCTCCTTGATGTTACAACACAATCCAGTAGTACAACATACTTGTTTCAGGCAATGTAGTTTGCAAAGGGTACAATATAAGCCAACAAATTTCTAGCCGTAAAATAAGAAGTTCAGTGTGTCCTGGTTGCAACCAAATCCTGTCTGCTGCAGGAATTACTTAGTCTTGATCTTCTCACTTTGATGAATCGCTGCGCAGATCCTCTTCCAGCTCCTTGTGGCGATCAGCAACGGTATCACAACCCATGAACTGTTTGCGCCGATGAAATATGCCCAGAAGTAGAACGGACTGGCCCAGAAGTTGAAGCCGTCCAAGTAGGCGGTGGTGAAGTAGACGATGCATCCGTAGAGCTGACCGAGGCACACGGCGAACTGGAGGATGTGGCTGTAGGACTTGCGTGATGCAATGGCATAGCTGCAATGAGAAAACTCGTGGTAAGATGAAAGTAAAGCTTGTGCATCATAAAAGTTTGAACAGCGGAGCTGGACTGAAATTTCAGATTAACTATATCGACGATGGACTTGTGTACTAGGCAAGAAAATGAGCTTGCCATTTTTATAAACAAGTTCAGACTGAAATTGTCAAGAGGAGAGATTCTTCAGACCTCTGGAACAGGTTCAGTAAAAACAGTGCTAGTGCCTAGTATTGCTATGCTTTGCGGTCGAACTTATCTAAATTTGAGGCAAACCAAGAAACACAAAAGGTACCGAATCGTTTGTTTGCACATTGATTTATTCAACAAGAACTACTATCTGCAAGAACATCAATCTGCAAAATCATCATGTGGTTCTTACATTTTGTAAAATACAATACTAAGCTGATGGAGTTTATACTTTTGAAAGAATACTGGGCAGATAAACACTCCAATTTTGCCTAAAATGTGCTATGCCAACCCTAACAGGACCGTCTAGTTTCAGTCAAATACTCAAATCATCACGATGCATGTTTATTTCAGGGCCAGCAAAACAGTCCACCAGAAACACATGAAAACCGATTCCATCTTTCATGAATCCTGCAATCTGTTAGAATTCCATTATCTTTCATGCATCCTATCATGCAAACATAGAGCACTAGTGTTGTTAATACAGGACCAACACACTACTTGCGGATCTGAGCAACACTGCAAATGTATGCTCTGTTGAAGCATCCACCGGTAGCACGTTTCATAAAAAATTATGAACTTGCATTGTTTATCAAAATCAAATTCTGAACTTTCGTGAATGTAGATTCAGAGGACGAAGAGAACTATCATCTTACTGAAAGAAAGGGGTGAATAATCAAGTATGCAATCTTAGTGGGGCTTCCTACGCAGTTAAGCCCATTTGCAGAACCATGTCTGAAAAATGCAGAAAACAGAGCAAGCTGCTGCTGCTGCTGCTGCTTCGTATGAAGCATCATCGTAGCCAAGATGAGAAGACGTACACTGCGAGCAGCGAGGCAGGGCCTTTCAGCACGGCCGTGATTCCTTCGACGGTGACGGTGGCGGTGTCCCTGGCGACGTACCTGGAGTCACCCTTGCTGTACTCCTTCCCTGGACAAACACGAGAGCAGACACAACGACCTCAAGAACTCCATCTTGACCGATCCAGATTTGGAGCTAAACTTGACTAGTAATTGGGACTGTTCTTGGTGAAAGAATCAGCCTGGAGATCAACTTACAGACTTCGTCGAAGAAGTTGGGGTTGGTCTTGGTGAAGAAATCGGGGGTGAAGACGAAGGGGCCCTCGATGAGTATGTGGGTGAGGCCGGTGAACGCCCACCAGCACATGAGCAGGCGGTCGGTGCCGGACAACCTGCGGCATCTCCCTGCGCAGCGGAGGCGGAGGCGGAGGCGTGAGCTGACTGACGGCCGGCGAGATCTCGACTGGGGCGGGATTGGGGGAAGGTAATGTTTTTACCGGAGAGGAGCCAGACGGCGACGAGGACGAAGAGGGAGGTGCCGAGGTAGGCCCCGAGGATCTCGAGCTGGGTGAGGCGCAGCGGCACGTAGCCCGGGAGGTCCAGGCTCGCCGGCACGTAAGGGTGGGCGCCCATCGCCGCCGCCGCCGCCGTCTCGATCTGGGAGCCGGAGCTGGAGAGGGAGCAAATCAGCGCTAGTCAACCGGGGTGTATACCGCACTGGTGATGGACGATGGATGATGGGTCGGAGCTTTGTAACGGAGGCGGGCATGGGCATTGGGATCGTCGCCTTCTGGATAAGCAAATCAGATCCTGACTGTGACAACTGCAATCATCAATCATTCTTCTTTTTTAAATCAGGATTGGTGGTTCTGCACACTGTGATGCAATAATCATCTTCAACACGGTGTTTGAGCGTTGTTCCTTTTCTGAAGGCGTTGTTGTTGAAGAACTTCGCCGTCCTTGTGGTGTCAAGAGAAGATTAGTGCGGATAAGGTCGTTACTGTAGTTTGTTCCATGCTAAGGCATGGCTTTGGTCTTGTATGACATTGCTATCTGTCGGTGTGTTTAGTCTGTGTTGCCTTTGTGCATCTTAGCTATGCAGAGGCTGGTGTCTGCTCATTATCTGTTGTATTCACTTGATACTTCATTTTGAGGTAATAAAATCCACCCTTTGTCGGAAAAAAAATCTTGAATACGATGTCATTTCAACTTGTAACATGAAAGACGTAATATAATAAACCTTCATTTCACTTTCGCCCGCCTGTCCACATGCGATTTTTGCCCCAAAACGCGACGCCGCCTACCCGACTCGGCTGCCTATTCCCGCCATCAACCACGCCGCCGTAGTCGACGCCGATCTGATTGTGCCCCGCCGAGATCGCGCGACTGATTTGGAAAATCGTCGGAGCTCCAGCTGTCATAATGGTTGTACAAGCTCTCGGCCACCTTCTTGTAGCAGTTTTCAACCGCCGAAGCTAAAAAGGTGATGTCGCACGACCACCACAATCGGCCGAGCCAGCGGTTTCTCGGGTGTTGCCTTCACCGGCGCCTCCACGCAAGCAAAGTCCTCCGGCAGCCACGCGGCTACCTGCAGCCATTGCCCACCCGGCACCCGCCATCTCAAGTCTGCAGCCGCCGCACACATCCCGACCCGCCGCTGGTTGATTCCTTCCACCTTGCCTGCAACGTGTTCGAGCAAATTCCCGCAATGAAAAAAAATCTTGCAAACTAGGAGGGTTTTTTTATCGGACATGAAGGTGTAGTTTGACGGTGATTTCCGCATTGTAGATGAGTCGTGCGACTCCTCTTTCATGGACGATTCCTCGTTGGATGAGGAATTTGATATGAACGAAGAAGAGGACAGTGCTATGCGAGGGGCAATGCACAAGAGGAATAAGTCAAAGCATGGTGGTCCCTTATTTGGCCGTGAGTTCATCGGGAGAACGGGTTCAGAGCATGAGAGATTGATGTGCAACTATTTTGGTACACCACCCGTTTTTCCAGAGGGTACTTCCGTCTCCGGTTCAGGATATCCAAAGATTTGTTCATCCACATTTTGCAATTCTGTGAACCAACATGATCGCTCCTTCTAGCATGGCATGGACAGTTTAAGGGTCGCGGGAAGGATGCCTGTTGGAAATATGCCCTAGCATCGCTCCTTTCTCCCGCAACTTTATAACACACGAACATGCTACCATTGTCCGTTTTGTACATGCACATGCTATGTGGGTGAAATTATGATACCATCCCAACTTTCAACTTTTTCAGAGTTCATTTGAAATGCTTTCATGTCTTATTGTTCGGCCCTCGTAATACCATGACCATTAGTCCCTGGCCCATGCCAACTTTCAACTTTTTAAAACTAATGGCACTAACAGAAACTTTCAACTTTCATCTATTCTCATTTTTTTAGTAAGTTAATCACAAACTTGTGATTCAAACAATTTTCAAAGAATTCAAATTTTAACTATTCAAAATTGAAAACTAATGGCACTAACAGAAAGTTTATATTTTTTCTAAAACTAATGGCACTAACAGAAAGTTTACAATTTTGCTAACCTAAAAGCAAACAGAATTAAAAATTAAAGCAAAAAACAAAAGAAAATAAATAATGCAAAAAATCAAAAAAACAGGAAAAAACTATTTTTATAGTAAAGTTAATCACAAAATAAAATAAATAAAGCAACAAAGAAAACAAAAAAACTAAAAAGTGTTTTCAAATTTGAAAACTAATGGCACTAACAGAAAGTTTATAATTTTTGTAAAACTAATGGCACTA